AGAGTGTGTGCCATCACTTGCTGGAGCTCTCTAGTTGTTTGGGGATGCTGAAGGTTCTCACATATCACCAAATGCAGCAAAGGCAGATATTAAGAGGGGACCTGGATTGGGCTAGCGAAAAACCCCAGAAATAAATGGGGAGCTCACAACCATGCTCTTGACTGATATTAGGACGGAGAGGGCAGATAAGAAGAAGCAGCTTGTCAACAGGGGGTCCCTACTCAGGACGCCTGGTGAACTTCAGCTTTCGCTGTATTGCTTTCCAGAGTAGGGAGCCTTATCCTGCTGGGAAGAAAGCAAGAGGCTAACTCCAGAGAGAGCTCCCAGCTTAGAGGGTCCCTTGAGCATATATGATGTGGCTGCCCGGAGCCCAGGGGTGCCACCTTGAATAAAATATTGCGGGGGCCTACCTAAGCCCCATCCCACATGACACAGTGCACACACACCATTTGAATGGGAATGCCCATCAACTTTAGGGGGACCTGGCCCCTTCAAATGTTTTATTGTGGGGTCTGAAGCCCCCACGGCCCTTAGAAGTTGGCTTCTGCCAAGAGGCTCATGCCAGCAGCTGGCAAAAGGCCAGGGCATTGGTGAGATGGATGCCAGATCTTTATCTGCCGTCAACCCACTCTGCAAAATAAGCTAATCAAGAGCCTCTGGCTGCAAGCTGGGGGTGCATTTTTTTGTGAAAGGCACATTTTGGGAATATGGCTCTCTAAGCGAGGACAAAATTTGGTGCCACACCCAGGTCTTATTTTCACAATAATTCCTTTTGATGCAGTTGCTTTTTAATGGATCTTCTCCATAATAAATGTTGCTGCTGCTGCTGCTGCTGCTGTGCGCACCTCTGCTTGGCACCCTGTGCAGTGGAACGCCCCACACCACTCTAAATCTGGAGCTGAACACGCTCACCCTCTTCCCCGAGCCCCAGGTTATAAACAAGGTGCTGTAAACTCCTGTTTTATTTTAGTCTCTCTTGGCCATGTTCTGCCGCTTGTGCCCCTTGCTCCTTTCTTTGAGTTCAGCTCTCCCAAATCAAAAGAGGGGGGACATATTTCTGCATTGACTGGCAGCTGTTCTGTGGGATTTTCCCAGCTCTGACTGGAGACATCATGGTCTGAAACAGGGACCTTCTCATGGGAGCAGGAAGCTGCTCCCACACTACATTATGGCCCTTCTGCAGACCAAACGGGGGGTGATTGCTGTGGAAAATAAATGTTGTCATCTAATAACCTGGAGCTGTCAGATCAGGGTCCCAGGCACCTTTGCCCCAGAGGGTGATACCTTAAAGAAGGTTTGGGGAGCCTGGTGCTGAACTGCAACTCCCAACAGCCCCAGGAACACAGCCGACGACCAGAGGTGGGGGGTGCTACAGATCCACAACATCTGGAGGGCCAGAGGTTCCCCACACCTGCTTTAAAGTGTTGCTTTCAGCTTCACAACAGAAGTACTCTCAATATATTTAATTAACAATTTTATTTATTAATAAAGGAATATATACCATTAAATATATCAAAGCAGGTTACAAAATCAGAAAGATAAAAGTCAAAGGATGTAACCATAAACACTAAAGACAATCCAAAAGTAAAAAGTTAAAGGTGCACCCATTTACCATTGTGGGAGGTGTGCCCGCATAGGCCTGGTGGAATGAAACAGCAGGCGTTTAAAAGTTGGCACAGAAAGCACCCTCTTAATCTCTATTGGCAAGGAGTTCCACAGGTCTGGGCTGATGACTCTAAAGGCTCGGTTTCTCGTTGCTGTCAATGGAGCCTCCACAATTCAGGGAATATAAATGCAGAAATTTAAGAAATGAGCTCTCAGGTGCATGCTTGGGTGAAAAGTGGGTCCTGCGTCTCAAAAGGCTAAACTTTAAGGGACAGTGGCTACCAGATTCCAAAGAACCAGTTCTGTCCGGGGGGAAGGAGGGAAGGCAGAAACCTCAACAGGATCCTGAGAATACTTCTCTGGACAGCTATGGCAAGGACTGCAATAAAACAGTGATATATGAACAGTGCCGGATTTACATATAAGGCTAAGCAAGCTATAGCTTAGGGCCCCACTCTCTTGCGGGGGGCCCCAAAAAATAAAGGAAAAAAGAACTGGATGTGCATTTCCAAAAGATAAGATAAAAAACAAATAAAATAAAACCTACATACAGCAACAGTGTTTTGTGTTGTGTATGGATCTATTAGCATCTATTCAACAGAAAAAACAACGATAATTTACATATCAACTAAACAAGCTATAGCTTAGGGCCCCAATATCTTGGGGGCCTCAAAAAAAATTTAAAGGAAAAAAGAACTGGATGTACATTTCCAAAATATAAGATAAAAAACAAATAAAATAAAACCTACATACAGCAGCAGTGTTTTGTGTTGTGTATGGATCTATTAGCATCTATTCAACACAAAAAAACAGTGATAATTTGTTGTTGACAAAAGACAGCTGGACATATAAAGGGCCCCATTACCTCCAGTAGCTTAGGGTCTCATCAAACCTAAATCCAGCCCTGGATATGAAAGGCAAGAGCAACGAGTGATTTCTTAGCAGCAAGCTAAAGCCAAGTGCTGCTGATCTTCAGAAACCTTTTCACAGACTGTGCTCAGAAGACTAATCTCTATTCTATACAGTGGTACCTCAGGTTACAGACGCTTCAGGTTACAAACTCCGCTAACCCAGAAATAGTACCTCGGGTTAAGAACTTTACTTCAGGATGAGAACAGAAATCGTGCAGTGGTGGTGGGAAGCCCCATTAGCTAAAGTGGTGCTTCAGGTTAAGAACAGTTTCATGTTAAGAACGGACCTCCAGAATGAATTAAGTACGTAACCAGAGGTACCACTGTACTTTTAAAATAATTAAAGGAATATAACTGATAAGAGAAATATATATGAAAGTATATATCCCTCAGTTTTCTTTATTTTTCTTCGGTGGCTCCTCTTCCTCTTCCTCCTCCTCTTCTTCTTCTTCCTCCTCCTCTTCCTCTTCCTGCTCCTCCTCCTCTTCTTCCTCCTTCTCTTCCTTCTCTTCTTCCTCCTCCTCTGCCTCCTCCTGCTCCTCCTCCTCTTCTTCCTCCTTCTCTTCCTCCTCTTCCTCCTCTTCTTCCTCCTCCTCTGCCTCCTCCTTCTCTTCCTCCTCTTCCTCCTCTTCTTCCTCCTCCTCTGCCTCCTCCTTCTCTTCCTCCTCTTCCTCCTCTTCTTCCTCCTCCTCTGCCTCCTCCTTCTCTTCCTCCTCTTCTTCCTCCTCCTCTGCCTCCCCCTTCTCTTCCTCCTCTTCCTTCTCTTCCTCCTCTTCCTCCTCCTCCTCTTCTTCTTCTTCCTCTTCCTCCTCCTCCTCCTCTTCTTCCTCAAGTGAAAGAATAGCTGAGGGAAAAGCCAAAGAACCACCGGTTAAAATTGGTATATGGCATGTACAACCATAAACTGTATTTTCACAGACCATCCAAGTGTCCTATTTCCCAGGGATGTCCCTGATTTAGAGAAGCCATCCCAGTTTCCAGTTAGATTCCAGAATGTCCCACTTTTCCTTAGGATGTCCCTCTTTTCATCAGAGAAATGTTGGAGGGTATGTTTCCATTATGCTGTACTTTCATTTTTTATGGCAAAAATTGACAACCAAGGAAGACAGGAAATCCTGGCCACAAGGAAGACAGCAAACCTTGGTGCCCTTCAGAGGCACATGCGCAGTCTGCTACTGGCCTCTGACCTCCTGTGCAGGGTAAACACTACTCCTGCCAAGACTTCTGCCCAGTGAAGGTGACCCGGCAAGGTTAGCATCTCCCAAAAAGCCACCCTGAGCTCTGCTCCAGACCAAGGGTGGGAGACCTGTGGCCCTCCAGGTGCATTGCACTCCAACTCCCATAAGCCCCAGCCAACATGGACAGTGGTCATTACGGATGATGGGACGTAGTTCAACATCATTTGGAGGGCCATATCACTGCCCTCAGAAAAGGCAGCAGCCCCTGAATTAGCAAGTGCAGGATTCTCAAAAATACCTCTTCCTTGCATTTCCTGGCTTTTTCTGCGTATCATTGCAACTTCTCTATACATTGACTTCACCTCCCTCTTAAGTCTTCTGACTTCCATCCTCAGTGCTTCAATTTCCTGGAGAGGATAGAGATTGGTAGATATTTACTTCAGACATTTACAGAAGATGCAGAAGCCCTGGTTAAAGAATTCAGGAATAACAGCAACAAACCTAAGCCAACAGTGCTATTGCTGAGAAGGAATTCCACCCCAGGATGCTAAAGGCATTGCAGGCAGAGCCCAGAGAGCTCTTTCCCTAGCCTGCAGGTGCCAGAAGGCCAAGCGCTGGTGTTACAGCGGTGGTACTTCAGAGGAGTATGGGAAAAGGCTGCTCTGGATTATGAGTATATAAATGGCATTGCCTGATGTTTTAAACAGACCCTTTTTCTGGCAATTTAAATGATTAAAGTTGACTTGATTAACTCCATCCTCCACCTGCCCTTATGGCTTTACCTGAACAGAAGTTCCAGCACGTCTTTGATCAACTGGGTTCTCTTCAGCTGCCATCAAGTTCCCCTTAGTTACAAATGAGGCACATTTCAATTATTATAGAAACCAGTTAACATTTAATGATGAAAATCCCACATTTCTGGCTGAAACCAGGCACACAATAAGAAGAATGAGTATGCACGATTGTATTTCATGCTTGTTCAGGATGTTTGTGAACTAGACAACTGCAGTTTTAAACTGGCCCTTTTTTGAGTGATTTAAATAATTAAAGTTCAATCAACTCCACCCTCCACCCACCCTTCTGACCTTACCTGAGAGAAGTTATGACAGATTCTGTATCACACTGCATTTCTTCAGTCCTTATCAAGCTCTCCTTAGGTGCAAAGCAGGCAATTTCCATTATTTTAGAACCAGTTTTTCATGTGTGCTTTTCATGAACTAGGTGAACTAGACAGCCACTATTTTAAACTGGCCCTTTTCCTGGCAGTTAAATGATTAAAGTTGACTTGATTAACTTCATCCGCCAACTACCCTTCTGGCCTTACCTGAGCAGCAAGTGCAGCTTGACCTGGACGACAGCGGATCCCTTCACCCTCCATCAAGCTCCCAGATGTGGATCTGTTGTCCTGACCTGAGTACAAAAGAAGTGATTTTACATCTCCATTCCAACATGAAACAAAAGCCTAGAGCCTGGCTTCATGCTCCCCCTCATCTGGAATATGGTCACTTCCAGCACCCTCCCAGCCCAAGGATCTCCTTGTAGAGGACTGCTTGTATGACAGAGGGTGTTTCTGTGGAGTGCCGCCTTCCTCTGCTGGAACAAGCCACCTCTCCAGCAGAAAAATGGTAGATTGGAAGTGGCCATCCCCGAATTCTCTAGGCAAGCATGCATGCCACACCTCAGCCAAAAGAGCTGCTATAACTCAGGAAAAGAGCATCTATGCTGTGGCTCTGGATGGCCAGCATTCTGCTTGGGGAAGCCCTGTCTCTCAAATTCAACTATCCCACACAAGGCCATGCAGCCAAAGAGCTGCCTCACGAGGCAGTTACAGTTTCCTTTGGCTGGTCAACATAGTTCTTCTTCCAAACGCACACAGCTTCAGTCTAGCACCTATTTCCTATCTTTCTAGGAGAAGTGTTAAGATCCACTACCACTGCTGAGACTGCTTTCCTTGTACACTTATTTTTGTCTGACCGAGATGACCTCTGGTGGGATCCTTCACCTAATGCTTTCTTCTTATTGCCAGCTGCAAAAACCACAAACACCAATTTAGGAAAGGCATCAAGTTGAGTCCTAAGGCTGCAATGTATCTCCATTCAGACCACAGCCTGATGAAAGTATTGTGGTCAACACCCCCCACACAATGGAAAGTTGCTGGTTTCCACCTTCATACTAGCATGCAGTGTAACAGCTGTTGAGGAAAATGCCAAAAGCTCTCACAGCCTGCTACACAAACTGTAAGAGTCTACCCAGCCCTCTTCCTCCCCTATCCCAACATATAACCAGCTCTTGAGTTTATAAATGAGTTCCCTCTTTTCCCAACCCATTCCATATGCATCCTGACCCAACTATCAGGATTTGCGATCTGACCAGGTTTAGGCGCCTAACTCTACAGTACTGCTGATACACCAGAGAGGCAATAGCCTGCCACTCACTAACCTAACTGCAGCCTTGCAGGAAAAGAATATAAGACCAGTCAGATATTTTGTGGTCCAGAAGATGCACACCCCAACCTAATTAGCACAAGCACCCATTAGAAATTAGCAGACCAATCCCCTACAGTGTACACCCTCCCCAACTAAAACCAAGTCAGCTCACCGCCAGAAACTGGGATCCTTGTTCCTGTAGCTCCTTTGCCAAATTTCATGGCAGGTTTTCGTCCACGAGAAACCATGGCATGTTTTTTCTATGAGACACATGACCCAAATATCAGAGGAGACATTTTTTAGGTATCTGTCATTCATATACTTTAAAGTGGAAGGATTTCAGGGGCAGATGCTCTTTTTCTGCAGGGGGGTGGGGATTCCCAAAAAAGCACTATTCAGACCTGCATTAATGGCCTATGAGAAATGGGCTCATAGCCGTGTGACAACTGCACATCATGCTGTTGTGTTTAAGGGCTGATGTTGCACTTCCAGGTAGAAGAGCTCTTTGGCATTATTTAGGCTCTGTGTCAATTGACTTTGTGACATGATGCGGGGGGGGGGGAGTTATTGTTTTTAGGGTATTTACCTGCGACCTATTGTATGGGAATCTCAAGGCACTTTACAACAATGTCAGAAAATATGCAAACATTGAAATACAGCAAAATAAACAGGCCAAAGTAAAAATATCCTTAATAGCCCGTACTGGCTGGCAGCAGCATTCCTCCAAATGCATGATGGATAAACACGCTTCCCACCTGGACCAGAATTGCACCTATGTTGGCAAAGGCCTCCTTTCTAGAAGGGGTAGCAATGGCTGCCGCCACCCACTGCTCTCTTCTCCCAGGCATCTGAACAGCTCCCCTTCTCTACCTGTGTGCCACAAGCCTGAATTGCAAGACAGTTCCCACTTTGGTGCAACGGGGAACAAACATGCTGATGACGAGTTCTGAGGCTCCCCCAACAAAGCCATTTCCCTGGGCCCACATGCCACCCTCTGCAGGCTGCCAACCCACAGGGAAACTGCACTATTCTCCCCACAAACCGAATAGGATGGGGACTATAACATAGGACTTCCTAACTTGTGAGTTCTGTTGAGCCACTGCGGCTTCCTCAGTTTAAAGCATGGCAACTCAGGTGAGCCATTAAGCTAGAAGCTGCCTTCTGGAAATGTGGCATGCAGGAGAAGAAGGACGGACCCTGGGATTGGCTGCCTGCCTTCCTTTTGCCTTCCACCTCACGACATCCTTCCCCAGCCTGGTGCCCTCCAGGTGTTCCAGGGCTCCATCTCTCATCAGACCATGATGGCACAGTCAGGGGTCAGGGATGGGGGCAGTTGTCCAAACCAGCTGGAGAGGCTCAAGGTGGGCATTACTGCCTCAAAGCTCTTTCCCTACCTCTCAATCTGGACTTACCTGGCCTTGCCCCTGGCCGCCTTTAGCCACATCAGCTGTGCTCGGAGCTGGGACAGACCCCTCTGGAGACTTAAAGGTAGAGGAAACAGCCTGGGTCCCCTGGAGAGCACTCTCAAAGGAGATGCCCTCAAAGCTGGACACACTTTTCTTACTCCCAGACTTCAGGCTAGAGAATGCCGCTGCACGCTTGCGACCCATTCCCTTGGTAGAAGAAACCTCATCCAGAGATGGATTTTCTCGCCCTGGGGGGGAAGCACTTTGGCCATTGCCACGGCATGTGGAGCTCTCCCTGGGAGCTGGACTTTCATCAATCATAAAGGAAACACTTCGGCTGATGCCACGGCGGCGTGATGAGCCCAGCCTAAGAGCCGGCTTTTCTTGGCCCGGGAGGGAAACACTTCCAGTGAAGCACCTGGAAGGTCGTATGGCATGCCCTCGGACCCGTGGGTATACATGGGCCATAGGCTGGCAGAAAAGTAAGGGCTTGATCACATCTGCGGTGCTCAGCTCAGGGGCCGGCAATGGAGCTCTGCCAGAGGAGGAGGAGGCGCCCCATCCAAACAGTTGTGGATAAGGGTGCTGGGACCTCGGCTCTTCCTGGCCCAAGACAGCACTGCTTTCAACAGCAGTGCTGGAAACTGAAGCTGGGCACTCAGTGGACTCTGGATCAGGCTGGGGAAGAGAAGGCTCATCCAGCGATTCAGCTGGGGTCTCGGCAGGGGACTTGGGAGGGGACTTGGGTGAACTTTTCTTCTCCATTCTGTGGACGTCTTCTGTGGTCTTCTGACCAAAGCACCGGCTGATTTCAAAGGCTATTTTTTATTAAAGCTTGAAAGACAAGGAAAAAACAGTATACAGAAATCAATGTCAGATATCAAGCATTTTTTAAACATAAAATCTATAAGAAAGAAAAGAAGAAGACTTCTGATTCTTCATCTATCAACTTTAAAAACTTATGCAAAACTCTTTCTTCATATTAAAATCCAATTCTTCTTCTTTCCATAAACCAACCTCCCCCCCCCCCCCAGTCTTTGAATCCAGATTATCACAAGTTCATGTTCCTTTTAGTGCAAAAAAGGGTTTCCCTTTTAATTCCCTCATTAATAAATGTCAACAGTGATTTTTCTCTAATTAAGCACATCAACTTTGCTATCTCAGCCAAATCCATTGATTTCAATAACCATTCTTCCATTGTAGGTAGTAAGAAGTCCTTCCATCTTTGTACATGGAATAATCTGGCCACTGTGATCATATACTGCTGGTGCCTTCCTTATTCTTTTTCTAGTTAGAATAATAGAATTGTAGAATTGGAAGGGACCCTGAGGGTCATCAAGACCAACCCTCTGCAATGCAGGAATCCCAACACATGGTCTCCTATCCAATATGAAACCACACCGGACCCTGCTTAGTGCCTGCAGCACTTGGAGGGACTTACAGAACTTTGTCAAACTGTGTTTAGAGGGCAAGTCAGACCCAATGCGAGAAACAGCTCCAATTTTGTGGTGGGTGGCAGGAGAGAAGATTTCCCTAAGACCATTTGGAGCAAGTAATGAAGAACCTACTCAACCTTTCTTTTTTGTCAGATGGCTTGCTAGTTCCAATAAGTCCTTCAAGTGTGACTACAGCTTTAGTATGTCTGTTATTAAAAACGAAACACCTTTTTCAATTTGAAAACTGTTTAATGATCTTTACCTATCCTGGGAACAGTACACGGCAGTGGTGGGCAGTTCCACAGACCCTCCTCCTCTGCTCAAAATGCTTACAGACCCATCAGCCTTCCCTTTCTCCATTTATCATAGCCGTACTTCTCTCTGTGCTCACCAGGATGTTACAATAAGTAAAATCAACTCCTGTCTCCGAATTATACACTAGAACACCTGAAATATTATTGTGCTCTGTGCCTGAAGGCAGAAATGGGCAGCGAAGGCAATACAGTCCCATTTACTCGGCTTTCTAGTCTCTCTTTCCATAGTCTCTCTTTCGCTTCCTGACCTAACGTTTGCCTCGCTTAACATAATTAATTAGTAAGTGAAGTTTTTACTCTTCCATTCAAGCAGTACAGGAAGTAAGAACGTGTAAAAAGGAATTCTACTTCTAGAATTCCCAACTCCTGACATAAAACAGGATAAAGTTTGCCTTTATATACTTTAAATACTACGCGTTAGAAACAGAATTTTAAGGGGCAGTCTTTTCTGGCAGTGCCAAATAAAGCCACTGACCCATTTCTAAGTCCTAAAATCCACAATTTCTCTGGATACCTGAAAAACCCAGTGGTGTATGTTGCCTTTCCAAAGTTCAAACCATGTGCAAGGCAGCTTACAAAAAATAAAATATTATATATTTTGTGCAAACACAGCAAAACTAGTCATAAACAATGAACAAAAGGTACACAACCAAATTGAAAAAAATCCACGTAAATCATAATATTCCACATAAATCATATGATCCAAAATAAAGATGTAAAAAATTAACATCAGCAACAGCAAACATCCCCGCCGCCGCCCCGAAAAAGAACCCAGCCCTCTTTTATAAATTGTAAAAGAGAAAACCACTGGAAATTGTAACCTTCCACTATTAATTGTTCCCTTGTTTTAATTTGACAATCTCCTCGTTTCGACTTTAAGAACTCTCGACAGGTTAACCATTTCTCTTTATCCGTCACCCCTTTTCTGTAAAAAGCGGCTTCTGGTGAAACCCAAAATGGAGTCTTTGCGCATAAACGAACTTTATATCTATTTCCAGATTCTTAACACGCCACGCACGTCTAACAGAGTGGTTCTTAAAGTGCGCAATTACTTTAATTTTATCTACCACAAATATCCAAGCCATCTAACCCTTAAATCCCAACCTTCTAATTCCCAAAGTCTCTTATTTCTCAATATCCCCCATTCCGTTAACCGCACCAAGCAACTAGCTGTAAAGCACAAGTCTAAAACGCAAGCTTACTTCGCATCTCGCAGAACTTTAAATGTAATTCGTGGTTTTTTTCACCTGTCCTACAAACCTATGTCTTTTTGCCGTTTAAATGGTAAATCAGTAGTCAACCCATACTTTTTGGTAAAAAGTTGTCTGGATCACAGAAAACCTACCGAATAAGAAGAATTGGAGTTTCTGTCGCTTTCTGCAAGCAGCGCCACCCGAATTCTCACCTGGGATGAGTTGCTGCGCGCACGGATCTCAGGCGTCGGAGAAAGACTGGAGCGGGCGGCAAGTGGGAGGGGGAAGTCGTGCGCTTGTGTCCCGCGAGAAAAGCGCTGATCCTCCCAGGAGGCAGCCTGCTTGCAGACAAGGGGGCAGAGCCGGGGGCGGGCAGAGATGCAGCCTGGCCTTGGGGTGCCCGCCTCTGCCCGTGCGCTTTGCCGCGTGGCTCTTGCTAACGGGCTGCTTTTTGTGTGAAAGGGTCCTGGATGCTCGCCATCAAGGTGGCTGCTAATTGCGCTGGTGGCGCTTGGCTCTTTCTCTCTTCCTTGGTTGAGAGGTGGAATACCAGGTGTGCTGGGCTGCCTCTAAGCCCATCAAGGCCACAGGCTGCTAGCATGACTCATCCCGGCTTTCTCATCTGAGGGGAAAGTGTGTGTGTGTGTGTTTCATCTTAACTGCCATCCTGCTGGCTTTGGCAGCTTCACTGGGCTATACTGGGCCAGTCCCTTACCAACCACTTAGCCTACCTCACAGGGTTGTGGTGAAGATGCAATCAGGGGAAACACCTGAGGCGTTGCTTCTGGATGTGTAGAACCCTGGCATGCTGCAGGCAGTGGAATGCCCATGGATGGGCCAGGAGGGAGAGTAACGGGTGGGGGGCATAATGCAATAGTGGAGACTGAAGGGAGGACAGTGAAAGTGAAGCAACCTGGACACAGAAAGAGAGAGAGAGAGAGAGTTAGAGAGTTGAGCAAAATCCAGAGAGAGTTTTAGGATGGCAGAGAGAGGAAGAGAGACCAGGCAAGGAAGGAGCGAGAGAGCATCACAGGAGCCAGCTCTCACAGGCCCAGGTCCCCTTGGACCCCTTCCACAATAAAATATTTGAGGGGGACGGGCCCCAAGTTGATGTGTACTGCCATTCAAATGGTGTGCATGCACCATGTCATGTGATTGATTATGTGGGGTGGGGATATTTTATTCAAGTTGGCACCCTGGAGGGCACAAAAAGAATGAGGAGAACCAAACGGCATTTGGAAAGGGGGAGGGTGGTGGAAGTGACACCTGCAACCTGCTCCAGGGTGGGAATTGCATCCAACGGGAAGAGGGGTTACGGCAGAGGAGGAGGTTGTGAGAGGTGGGAGTTGGGGTAGGGTAGGGATTGCTAGTAGCAGCATAATGTCCTGTGCTGGCCCTGGTGACCCTAATTGAGAATCCCTGGGTTCAACTCTCCAGATTGTGGGATGTCAAATACAGAGCAGTCAAATACCACATTCCTAGAGAGGGATGTTTGTCCAGCCAGTAGATAAACTTCCTGTTTCCTTCTGACCAGAGATGGGTGTGACTAAGCTATTTTATACCTTTTATACAAGACTGTGTCATGTCTATTCCTTTTAGGAGGGAATAAAGGGGAATAAAGAGGGACGCGGGTGGCGCTGTGGGTAAAACCTCAGCGCCTAGGACTTGCTGATCGTCAGGTCAGCAGTTCGAATCCCCGCGGCGGGGTGCACTCCTGCTGCTCGGTCCCAGCGCCTGCCAACCTAGCAGTTCGAAAGCACCCCCGGGTGCAAGTAGATAAATAGGGACTGCTTACTAGCGGGAAGGTAAACGGCGTTTCCATGTGCTGCGCTGGCTCGCCAGCTGCAGCTTAGTCACGCTGGCCACGTGACCCGGAAGTGTCTTTGGACAGCGCTGGCCCCCGGCCTCTTAAGCGAGATGGGCGCGCAACCCCAGAGTCGGACACGACTGGCCCGTACGGGCAGGGGTACCTTTACCTTTACCTTTAAAGGGGAATTAACAGGAAACTTATTTTAGAGGCTTAAGCAAGCCTGGAAAACCTATCCACTGTGTAAGTTTAAAAGGGAGATGTTACTCTGCTAAATTATAGAACTTGTTAACACATGTTGGAAAGGATATAATTAAACAATATATCCTCTCCTGCCTCCCTGAACATTCCCACACAGACAGGGCCCAAACATGACCACCTGCCAAAGGCTATTTCTTACCACAGCCTTGGCGTGCAGGTCCCAGGTTCAGATCCAGATCTCCCGAGCTGAAAGGCTCTTGGGCACAAACTGCAAAGACAGCATCTGTCAGAATAGGTCATACTGAGCCAGTACAGATGAACCTGACTATTGGTTCACTTCCTGTGAACTTTTTAGGTCACATCAGAGGAGAGAGAGAGAGAGAGAGAGAGAGGTTTCTACAGAAGTCTGCACCTCTTATCTCCATGTCCCCACCTCAGTCCCTAGGGCCAGAAGCAAAAGTTCTGCTGTGCAACATAGGCTCACAAGCAGAGCATATACAGGAGCTTTGCTGAGGGAAATGAAACTCTGCAGGGCTGTTCACTAAATGGCTTGCAAAGCAGCCATACTCTATGCTCTTATTGTTGTCAGTCACAGGGCAAGCCATAGAGGAATGGATTCCTTTGGGAGGTTGTGGATTCTCCTTCCTTTGAGTTTTTAAAGCAGAGGTTGTATGGCCACCTGTTAGAGATGCTTGAGTTGAGATTCATGCATTGCAGGGGGCTGGACTAGCTGGACTCCAGTGCTACAATTCTGTGATTCTCTGATTCTAACCTGCTACAGCATGTAGCATGTAGCAGTGGCCACACCCCGAAA